TCTACTTTCGGAAGGCCAAATAAAGGGTTTTTGTTTTCGCACAGAAAAACACAGCGTCTCCCTGACATGGCTGCATCAACACTACTGCGGTTCCTGAAACCACGCCTTCTTTCTTTGCATGAACATTTGGGTGGCATTACGCAAATATTTCCACATTGTGACGTAGACATGAGGGGGCGTGTTAGAACGAGGCGTTTTAGCCCGGTCTGGATCAGCCTTGTCTTTTAGATAGAATAAATCCTTTTGTGGGAGACTTTGAGCTTTGTAACTCTGCAGATCGTATACATGCACAAACAGCTACATAACACATTAAAGAAAAGGAAAAATATTAATCGCATCATATGACCCCCTTAATAACTGAAATTATTCTGGTCTAGTATGACAGTATAAAGCTGTATTGTGGAGAAAAGGAGATCCCCTTGAATTTCAGACTAACTAGTGAAAAGCCTCTGTTGTATTTGCTGCTCACATGGATATCTGTATGATTAAAACGGTTTCCACAGGACACCAGCAGACGTTATGAAAATAAGGCTGGTACCTTTATCACTGGAATCGATGTCACGTCTAAGGTAAGTGTCAGCTGGTTGTGTGAATATATCAGTCTGTCTACTAATGTACTTGTTGTTCACAACATTTGTACGTGTTCAGGAGGCCATTGAGAAAAAGGAGAAGCGAGCAAGAAGATTTCATTTTCACGCAGAAGAAAATCTGGCTCCGAGAAATGTTGTTCTAGACCGGGATATGTTGAAGAAAGGTAAGAATTCTTACACGGCTATAGCTCAAAATTTGATTTCAAGTCAGCATGAAATTAAAATTCACCTGTCTGTTTTCTAAATGCATATTATAGATCATATTGTGAACAATTCATCCATGTTTTCATTTATAAAAAAGTGCTTTGACCTTGTAATGTTTAATCAAAATGCATTGACTGGGCTTTTCCAGTGTATATATTAGACTTGTCTTTGGTGACATTTGCAGGACTTCTCCGATCATTTAGTCCCCTTAAACCTGTACTTGCAATCTCACGTTCATCTGCCTGCACTTTTGAGGAAACCCTTACATCTTAAAGGGGTCATATGATGTTGCTAAAAAGAACATTATTTTGTGTATTTGGTGTAATGAAATGTGTTTATGCGGTTTAAGGTTCAAAAAACACATTATTTTCCACATACTGTACATTATTGTTTCTCCTCTATGCCCCGCCTTTCTGAAACGTGTCGATTTTTACAAAGCTCATCGGTCTGAAAAGCAAGGTGTGCTATGATTGGCCAGCTATCCAGTGCGTTATGATTGGCCGAATACCTCAAGCATGTGACGGAATTGTTACGCCCCTTACCATACTGTGATGATACCCTGTCAGTCCGGAGCGATGATTCAAAAACATGAAAACCCATTACAAACAAGGCATTTGTTGCACATATACATAAAACCATGTCTGCGTTTGTGATCGGAGAAATGACAAACACCAAGCCCTACTCTACACTGCCCAAAAGACTTGCTTTAAATAAAAAAATATAAAATATAAAAACTCTTTAAAGGGATAGTTCACCCAAAAATGAAAATTTGATGTTTATCTGCTTACCCCCAGGGCATCCAAGATGTCTTTGTTTCTTCAGTAGAACACATATGATGATTTTTGACACAAACCGTTGCAGTCTATCAGTCGTATAATGCATGGCAATGGTAACAAAATCTATGAGAGTAAAAAAAACATGCACAGACAAATCCAAATTAAACCCTGCGGCTCGTGACAACCTGTGCATGTTTTTTTTTACTCTCATAGATTTTGTTACCATTGCCATGCATTATACGACTGATAGACTGCTACGGTTAAAGTTAAAAATCATCATATGTGTTCTACTGACGAAACAAAGTCACCTACATCTTGGATGCCCTGGGGGTAAGCAGATAAACATCAAATTTTCATTTTTGGGGATCCCTTTAGAGTTACTTAAAATGCTATCCCTTTAAATCAGTGGTCGCCAACCCGTCGATCGCTGTCCACCCCAATAACGTGATATTTAGTCCCTGGAATGTGAATTTTACTGGAAGATCCCCGCCGGAAAACGTGTATTTTACCCCCGGAATACGATTTTTATAGGGGAACCCCCCTCGAAACGCGATTGGACTAATTTTACCCCAATAACGTGATATTTAGTCCCGGGAATTAGTCCCAGACCTGCTGTTTTTGTTTCGTGCAGATGTTTTATGTAGCAAATAAATAAATAACACCTAAAGTCAGACCATTCTGTTTTTGTTTTAAATCCTGGAATTAATCTAAATCAAATCAAAAACAACTGCCTGTGCAGATCATGATTAAAATGCAGTGGTTGCCTCTAATTTCAAATGGCTTTTATAAAGAATATCTCTTTGGATTTGAGATTTTAGTCTTTGCAACTTTACAGATCTTTTTTATGCACCAAGAGCTTGTAACACTCCAAAGAGAAAGGAAAAATTGAAATCGCATCTCATGACCCCTTTAAAATCCGGTCAACAACAATGTCCAGCCTATATTTTTCGTTTTCAATAGTCCGTTATACTCGGATGTACATAACACAGAAGAAAAAAGTTGTGGCTCCTTCAGTTTAATCATGGCTTCCAACCCATTTCAGTTTTTGCATTGTCCGAAACGGTAGTTAACCTATGATGTTTCTCTTGAAATCTTGTGACTTTTTCTCATTTATGAGTATTCGTGAAAAGTGTTGACACTCAGATGTGTTGTGAAAAATGCGTGGAAAAATTTATATTATATTTATTTCAGTGTTAAAAGCAACTGCACAAACCAGAGACAACTTTTTTAAATGTATTATTATTGTTAAATTTAGTAGTAGTATTATTATATTATCCATATAGGTTTGGAGTGACGTTAAGTTGAGTAAATGATGACCCAGTGTTAATTTTTAGTGAATTATGCCTTAAACATCTCTCCCACTCTCTCTTTAGCAATCCCAAAGGTGCGTTTGGAAGCCCTACACATGAGTGGAGTTGATAACATGAGCACTCAGGATGTTTTTGGCTACTTTAAAGAGTATCCGCCTGCCCACATTGAGTGGATAGATGACGCTTCCTGTAAGTACAGCCTCCCTGATATTACCACACTGTCATAATTATACATTGAATGCATTCAAATTTGAATTGGAAACAGGAAAAGTTTTGTTTAAAGCTGGATTGTGGTGCTCATAGTCAAAACACACTGTTCCCAGGCAACGTGGTGTGGCTAGACGACATCACTTCCACCAGAGCTCTCATTAACTTGAGTCGGATGCCAGACAAAAAAGAGGTCACAAACACGGACAACTCAAAACCATCTGAACTTTCCGACCAGCTGCAGAAAGGTTTGTCTTCTCGTTATACAAGTCCTGTTATTTCACTGTGTAACCTTGAAATAGACACTGTTCCACCAAATTTTGTGAAACAAAACTGTCACGTTGTTGCTAATCAGCTCGGCGAAACCGTGGCTCTGATGATGATGATGATGATGATGATGAAGATGAGGAAGGCGAGGTCGATGATGATGAGGTGGTGAAAGCAGATAAGAGCAGGAGCAGTGATGGCAGTGAGGGTAAAGCTAGTGACAGTGAGGAAGAGACCGAAAAGAAACCACAGGAAACCGCAGAGGTAAACTGGTAACATTAATGGTTTTTCTAATATTTTGTGTATTTTGTTTATTATTTATTTTGATGTACCTTATATTTCATCCTTTAATCCCAGACAAGCCTGCTTTCCCAAGCAGAGCGAGAGTCTCTTCTCCAGAATGATCTGCGACCCACAGTCAAGCCCTTCAAAGGCAACAAGCTGTTCTTGCGCTTTGCCTCTCAGGGTGAGAAACGTACTTCAGCATGTCGCCTACAAATAGAAGCAGTTGTGTTAGGAGCTCTTCATTACTCAACAATGATTACATTGATACAGTGAAACAGATTTAACAGTCTTGGCTGTTACTTTTCATTAGATGACAAAAAGGAGTTGGGTGCAGCCAGGAGAAGTCGGTACTACATGAAATATGGGAATCCAAACTATGGTGGCATGAAAGGCATTTTAAGTAACTCTTGGTAAGAAAAACTAGTTTTTTTGAATACTTTATTTAGCCATGATAGTAAATAGAACAAAAGTGACAGTAAAGATATTTATAATTTCAAATAAATTCATTCTATTCATCAAAGAGTCCTAAAAAATGTCTCAGAAAAATATTCCATAAAAATATTAAGCAGCATAACTGTTGTCAACATTGATAATAATGAGAAATGTTTCTTGATCACCAAATCAGCATTAGGGATGTAACGATTACCGGTTTGATGATAAATCATGATAAAATTCCCGACGGTTAGTATTACCATTTCATATTTTAATTATCATTAAAACCGTATTAGATTACCGCGATTTGAACAACTAACGATAAATAAATACTGTCCAGCATAAAGCACAGTTTTAAGTAACAGTCTCAAGTGCGCACAGCAGGCAGAGTAGTTTCGTTTTGAGTGAAAACAGGGCGGAAAAGCTGGGAGGTTTTAAAAGAGTGCTAAGGGAATTTTACAAATGAAAGTAACAGTCTCACGTGCGCACAGCAGCAGAGTAGTTTCGTTTTGAGTGAAAACAGGGCGGAAAAGCTGGGAGGTTTTAAAAGAGTGCTAAGGGAATTTTACAAATGAATATATGAATTAATTAATTATATGAATTTTCCTCTGAAGATTCTGACTGTCTTCAGGAACGATTCGATGGCATTTTGTTTTCATCTTCGCTCCATGTAATACCTAAAGTAAGTGTTCTTAATCGCAATACTGCTTTGTCCACGGAGGTTACGGGAAACAGCTGTAATTCTGCTTTTCCATAAGCGCCACCTGCTGGATTTACTGAGACTTATATTTACATTCAGCCTGTGTGCAGTTTCTGTCTGGCCAAAAACGGACCGAATTTGCATGCCCTGCTGTAAATTTTGACCGGTTGATGAAAAACAAGCTTATGCGGATTCTACACATTTAAACAATACAGATGTTATCTAGATACATATAATAATTTATTAATCAATTATCATTTTGACTTAACTCAAAATAACTGACTTAACCTTTTTATGAAACTTTTTCAAAGCTTTATTTGAACATTTACATTAAATATTTGAACATGCTATTAAACTGTTGTCAGTCAAGTTGTCATTTAAAATCCGAACATCATTGGTAATGTTATTGTTTTAGTGATTATGCAAACAAGATTATCCTTTTATTTGTTGTTTGTTGATTTTTAAATATAAAACTTGAAGTGATTTGTGTCGGTACTTTTTGAACATCTCCAGCACATTTTAACAATACCGTGATAATACTGATAACCGTGATAATTTTGGTCACAATAATCATGATAAGAAATTTTCATACCGTTACATCCCTAATCAGCATATTAGAATTATTTCTGCAAAAAAAAAAAAATTCTGCTTTGCCATCACAGGAATATATTATTTTAAAATATATTCAATTAGAAAACAGCTATTTTAAATTGTAATATTTTACCGTATTATTGTTTTTACTGAATTTATCAAATTTATACAGCCTTGGTATGGAAGCCCGTTTCTGCCATTGAATAAAAATCTCGCAATTCTGAGTTGAAATCTCATATTTCTGAGATTATCTTTGCAATTGCAAGTTTACATCACGCAATTCTCCGAAAAAAAAGTCAGAACTGCAAGTTTATATCTCGCAATTCTGACATTATAACCCGCAATTGCAGGTTTATATCTCACAAATCTGAGAAAAAAGTAAGAATTGCGAGTTATGAACTCGCAATTAGGAGAAAGCCAGAATTGTGAACTAAAAAGTCGCAATTACCTTTTTGATTTTTTATTCAGTGGCAGAAACGGGTTTCCATAGCCTTGTGATCATAAGAGACTTCTTTCAAAAAATATTAAATCTGAGCAACCCCTAACTTTTGAGGGGTAGTATAACTTTTTGAGCTTAATATTTTGGAGGGTAACTGTAGTTTCATCTGGAATTGTACATTTCTATAGGAAACGGAGATATCACACACGCAGAGTCCAGCGTGACATTCTGAAGACCAAAAAGTCTCTGATTGGAGACAGTATGGGACACACCCCACCTTACACTCATCGACACTCTGGTAAAACTCTCTTAAATAACAAACTGACATCTTTGTCTTGAGTTTTTTTTTGGTCCGTCAATTAAGCTCTTTCTCTTTCTCAGCTGACCTGGTGAATCTGCCAGAAGAGCCTATAGAAGAAGAGGAAGAAGAAGAGGAGGATGGAGAGGAAGACATGGATGCTGATGATAGAGTGGTGGAGTACAGAGATCGGGCAGACAGGGAACGGGGGCCACAGCTAGAGGAAGGAGGCCCGTCGCCTGCATCTTCAGATTCAGATGAGATGGACTACGATCTGGAACTGAAAATGATCTCAACGCCCTCTCCCAAAAAGAGTATGAAGATGACTATGTATGCCGACGAGGTAGAAACCAACCTTCGCAGTCTTCGGTGAGTCTTCAGTCCACACTTTAGGATTTGCATTTTATCTCTTGACCCTCATGCTGAAAAGATTCCATGATGATCAAGTTTCATAATGGTAATTGTGCATTTTGTCCCTTTCACTGCCTCAGAAACTCCGTACGGACTGAAACAAGTAGCAGTGTTAAGAGTCGCATTGGTGGTGGAGGAGGTGGAGGCTCATCCAAGTCTACATCAGACAAAGTGACGGATGTGAGGCAGTTACTGGAGGAGAAGAGGCAGGGACTCTCTCAGCAGAGATCATGTCCCCCAGTGACTACAAGCGGCAAGACGGGTTAGTTATTGACAGAACCTAAAAATCTTGATTTAATGTTTAGCATTCTAATATGCATTGAAGTTAGATTATCTTAATATAATAATAATAATAATAATAATAATATCTATTTCTTGATTTAAATACTTTGCCATCAAGTGCCCCTGGCACCCAGATTGAGGTTTCCTGGAAGATTATTAAAAAGTCTTAAATTCAGTTTGATCAAGTTTAGTGGACGACCGATATTGGTTTTTTGACAGCCGATACCGATATCTTGGAAAGCAGGATGGCCGATATAAAGCCGATACAATTGTATTTATTTTAATTAAAGCCAGGGTAACACTCATTTTACATACAGCACACAGTGAAAACACATGAATGTGACAGTGGGCAAATGCATAAATTCCAGCATAATTTGAAATCACAAATTTAATGTTTAAAGCATTCAGTTTGCACGGACCGAAAGTCACGCAGAGAACACGCGATCATGCAGGTCACATGCACACTTCACAAGATCTCACAACTGGATTCGACTAAGTTTGCAAGGTTTGTGAAATTAAATTTTCATTAGCCATTCAAAGATTTGTTTAAATGATGTAAATGCGTATTTGCTGAATGCTGACGGCAAACGAGAAAGTATTATAATGTTTGCCTTTCTATTACTAATAATATAAAAGCAATCGTTATAATACTTTTTGTATACATTTTAATTCCTTTGTTTAGCAGTTCTATCGGATTATTAGACAGACTTCTATCCGTCTATCCGTATTAGACAGAACTGTTAACGACGACGGCAAAAAAGAGGGAGAACGTGAGCACTATGTGCTCAGGTGCTGCCGCTCTCAGTGCCGTCAAAATAAGTCAACATCGGCCAAACAGAAAAACTTAACGGCCAATGCCGATATTTAAAAAATATCAGCCTTGACGATATATCGGTCGACCACTAATCAAGTTTAAGGTCATTAAAAAGTATTACATATCTTAAATGGTATAACAAATGTCATAAATATCATTTTAAGAGGTCTTAAACTATATATATATATACACCTTGCTACGTGTACTGCGTTAGGCTAACCGAGACTTGTCATTTGCACTTATATATTGTTGCTCTTTTGTTAGTTTTGACTGCTTTTATTGTCCTCATTTGTAAGTCGCTTTGGATAAAAGCGTCTGCTAAATGACTAAATGTAAATGTAATGTAAATGTAAACTTTGGAATTGAGATATGACCTAATGTGATGATTACAGTTCAGAAGGCTATGATTGAATTAAATAAATGTGAGCTCTGCATGCTCAGTCAAAATATGGCAATGTTGCACATTAAGAGCACTTCACAATCATTAATTATGCACATTTATGCCAATAGACTGCTTATGATATACTGTTTATAAATTATGTTTATATTGTAGATGGTTATAAGAGTGCATATTTTATTTCCATCTCTTTGAATGAGCTGCTGGAAGTAGTCAAGCATAGACATTTTAAAATAAGAGTCCCAATGTATTTGGGGCTTGATTATAATTAAAAGTCTGCATTATGCATAAAACAGTTTTCCCCTGATATTATTGGTATTTTGGTTACAGAAACTGTATCTGGCATTTAATTCAACATCAAGTCTTGTGGCTTCTCTCTGGGCCGCTCTGTCATAGGAAAGTCTAAAAACATTATTTAACATTCAATATAGATTTTACTCATTTCGGCACAATCTTTTTATTGACTTTCTTTAAAAGCAATATAATTCTTATGTATTGATATGCTATTAAATAGACCAATTTCAGTACATGTGCATGTGTTGAATAAAACGTTTTAAACTGCATGCAGTTACCCTGTTTTGCATTCGAATGTGTTCCCCAGGGTGTTTGATTAAAATATATAATTTGTTATAGATTATTCTACTTGAGATTCTATAGGTTTGCTTTGTATGGACACAATATTAATTTTATTTATTAAAAAAAGGTCTTATGTATTCATAAGAATTTTGAAAAACAAAAAGCGGATGAACCGAAATCCACAGGATTGCTTAATATGTTTGACCATTTTCGTGCTGAGCAAATGTGGGCAATAAAAGGACACATTTTCTCTCCGCAGATGTGAGGCAGAGATTAGGCAAAAGACCACACTCTCCAGAGAGACGTCGCTCTGTCTCTCCCGTCATCTCTAGAAACGCAGTGTCTCGGAGAGAGCCTTTGACTGACGTGCGCAGCCGACTCGGAGTGGCAAAACACGAGAGCCGCAGCCTCTACTCAGAGTCCTCGAAAGACAAGAAAACGGGTATAATTGGAGTCAATGCTCTTTTGGTTCTCTTCACATTTTTTTCTAATACTAATAGTAATTGTTGTTTTCAGGAGGCTTGTGGAGCCGCCTAGGCCCGTCTCATAGGGACGATAGAGACGATGACAAGACTGCTTCCCGAGCGTCTTCCTCAAGAGGAATAAGGCGACGAGATGACGAGGAATCTGACGGAGTTGATAACAATAAAGAGGATGACTCTCAGCTGCAGAAGATGTGGGGAGCAATGATCAAGCAGAAGGAGCAGCAGTCCAACAAGATGAAGAAAAGCCGCCTGGACAACTTGCCCTCGCTGCAGATCGAGATCAGTCGGGACAGCAGCAACGGCTCGGACAGTGACTCCTGACTGACGACTCCTGTAGGAAGTGTGGGAATCGGAGGAATGATGAACGCTGTGGAAGAGAGATGGAGAACATCTCTAGTAGACTGGGCCAAGAGACCCTGACGTGTATACTTTAACACTCCCACCTCTTGCCTGTCTACAGACTTTGCAGATGTTTTCTGTAGTCCTCTCTCCGTGAACCAACTTTGAGAGCGCAGATTGGATTTTTTTTTGTTTTGTCATTTCAAAGACAGGGCAGTGGATGAGTCCCTCATGTTTTGTTTTTCTTCAAAAGAAAACTATTTGGTTGTATTTAACACAAATTGAGGGCCCATTTTTAATATACAGCGAGCGATGCACCAGGTTGACTAAAACAGTCCTGTGATTTGATGTACTGACTGGAAGCGATGTGATTGGATGTCTGTTAGCAATACATTTTTTTTTTTTTTAATCATGTCAGTGTGGTTGGTTTTTGTTCATGTTGCATTATTAAGACTGTCATATCACTGTGGATTTGATGTGGAGAACCTAATGGTCTGAGATTTTTGTTTCTCTGGTGCAAGAATTATATATTTACTGGACCTGAAAGGATCAGTGCTTCATTGTACACAGTCCTGAGAGGGGCACATAATGTAGCTAATGTAAAGATAATTGTATTTTTTATTATTTTTTATTATATTGATTGGGTCTAGAAATTGATATTGTACAGCATGTCAGTGTTCTTAAACAGCATACGAAAATCTGTATTTTAATATGCAGATATATTACTAATTATGTTCCTGAAATGATTTTATTTAAAAAAAAAAAAAAAGGATGGCGCGCAGCAAGGACTTTTATTGTGAAATCTACTGGTGCCACAAAACCGGAAGTGTTCGCGATCTGTACTCTCACATCCAGAATAACAGTCGGAGAATCTAGACTTTTAACAATTTTGATTGAATAGAATTATTAACTGTTTATTTACTGGTACTGACTTGAATATCGCTTCATTTATAGATCGTCTAACGTTACTATTAACCGCGCAACAGTGAGCCGGAGGTGAGCGAACAGTCGCTAAGCATGTAACTCAAGTCATAATCCAGAGCCACGCAACTTGAGCTCGGGCTAATTATCAGACATTTAGTTTAGAGATGCTGTCATCACATCATTGCACTTGCAATGGGCTTGTATCGTCGATCTGTAGATGTTGACACATCTGGAGCTGTAATTGGCTGAGGAAAGATGCAACAGGTCCCGTACGGATCTGTGGATCGAGACAAGCCTCTCATCCGTGTGCCTTTCACCCGGTTAGCGGTGATCACAGTGTGTCTGCCTCTACTCGGCCTCGTCGCCTGTATCGTGCTGGCTCTGCTCTACCACTACAATGATGCGACCTACACACACTGCGAGGTGAGAACCAGACCGTTACTGCTATACTCACTCACATCCCCTCTGAGAATAACATTGTCACTCCTTCCTGTGCCTGTGTGTAATATATATATATATATATATATATATATATATATATATATACAGTAT